GGTAAAATAGTTTAGTTTTTCTTAAATAGAGATGACAAAGTATATAATTGGAAGAAAACCCACTATTGGTCAAAACCTGATTTTTCATCATTTTTGGCTTTTTTCCTGAATTCAGCCATAGTGATGAATGAACTGCTACACATATAGTATTCATGTGTGAATACAAGCCTTTTTTTCAGGGCAGTTGACTATTTCATAGTTGCCTTTGTTGTCATTGGACCTTTTGCACAGAAAAAGCCCTGGAGATGATGAGAAGGAGGTTAGATCTTTTAAGAAGTGTGTTACTTGGCTGATGTGAGAATGCCACACACGCATGTACAGGTGGTGGTTGAGAGTTTAATAGAATTACGCTGTGTTATTATGATTACAGCTCCCATGGCCAAGCTTAAGTCAGAACAAACCGATTAATTCTGATGTTCATGGGCTCCCATGAGAAGATATAGAAGATGTGTGGGCATGTATGAATGTCTGTGTATATCTGTATGTGCGACAGAGGAGAGGAATCCTCCCTATTCACGCTGAGCAAAACAGGATTTATGAGGGATACATTTTGCTGGATCACTCTTGTTTCAGTTCCAAAAGCACAGACATGGGAATATCCTGCAGTGAGCAATTTCCCCCATGCGTAACTGGAACTCTTCTTGGCCGGTGGCCTTGATTCATTTCTTCCCACTCTACTTTCTCATGCTGTATCTGTCTCTCCCTTGCTCATTCTCTCCCATTTTGTTCCATGGATTAAAATGAGTTTTAATCAATTTCACTAAACGCATACATCAATCTAAGACTACTAGAAAGTCTTAGATTGTCTTACAGCAGGCATCCTCTCTTCCACTTAAAATATTTTAGGAGAGAGAGAAGGAGAAAGAGAATGAAGGTGAGTCTGTTGCCAAATCAGCTGAGGTTCAGTGCATAATGCCAAGAGGTGCATGTGTCATCACACTACTACAAATTTTGTATAGTCAGCTACCACTGTTCTACTGCACAGACACAGACACAAGTAACATAGACACAAGTAACATAGACAGGTTTCTCTAGCTAATCTACAAGTGTAGCTAGTTTCTAGATAGATAGATAGTTCTAGAATACGTCATCTACATTTGGTCAACCCTTACAGTAAAACACTTCCAAAAAGGTGAAAAATGGATACCAGGACCAAATTAATGAAGATGTTAAAAATGACTTATATGTTTTCCAGTGGCTGAGTTCTGGGCAGTGGTAGCTCAGTGGTTAAGCTGTTGGACTTCTGATTGGAAGGTTGTGAGTTCAAATTCCAGCACCACCAAGCTGCCACTGCTGGGCCTATGAGCAAGGTCCTTAACCCTCAGTTGTATAAATGAGTTGAATGTAAGTTGCTCTGGATAAGGGTGTCTGCCAAATGCTGTAACTGTAGTTCTAGCAACAAATTTTGGTACTAGCTATCTAACTAATACTAGTTACACAGACTAATTACATAGACAGGTAGGCTAGCTAGTTAACATTATTTTACATGTAATGGTGTCATCTATCTTGACCAATCGTTTCATTTAGTATTAAAACTAAAACCATAGTACTAAAGCATTCATTGGCTTAAATGGGAGTCAGAGAAAGTGAATGAAGAGAAGAGAAGAGAAGAGAAGAGAAGAGAGAGGGAAGTAGGAGTGGCAGCATTTCAAATATATTAACAGCATGGGTGGTGCAATGGACTGCTCCCACCACAAACACACTGTCTTTTCATGCATGCATTTCTTTTTTGTAATACCTTCAAAAATGGGCTTATTTTAGCTAATAAGATAAGGATTTTTAAAAAAATTAAACTAACATCTTGTCTCTATCCACTTCTATTTCTCCAATCTCTTTTCCACCAAAATGTGCAAACCAGGACATTATCAAACGTGAGAAGGAGATTAGAACATTATCAGAATCCAGGTGCATAGCAACACAACACAATCATTTAAACAATCATATTAAAATGAAATGTACGAACAATGAATATATACTTCTAAAATAAAGTTTGGGGGCTTTATGTTTTCTGGCTTAATCTAAATAAATCACACTTAGTGATTTACCTCCTTTTCTGTGGGAAAATTTTCATGAAACCATGATTCAATCCATTAGAGAGGATCTGCCCAGCTGCTGATTTTTTGTGTTTTTTACACACTTAATCAAGTGGAAAGGTTGTTACTTATAATCCCCTTTACAGGAAACACAGGGTGTCTTATGGGATGACGACATTCTGGAAGGTCGAATTTCAGGGAATTTTATGGTCTCTTATCAGCCTATGTATGAGAGGTGGAACTAACAGAGCACACTGGAATGGATTGCTTATGGTGATCATTCAAAAACTGGTTTATGATGATATCTTGTACCATGTTGTATACATAAAATGTGAAATTAAATGTTGATATATTTTTTCTTAGGTTCTAAGCTCATATATTAAACCACAACTGACAGTGAGATATACATAAGATATACATTTATATGCTTTTTAGCTGATCATATTCAAGCAAGACTAGCAAAAATATAATAATTAGTTTGGTCTTAGGGCACTAAACAGCACAAAAAATACCATGTAGATAAGCTTAGGCTCTTGTATAAGCTTAGGCTCCAGTCTTATATCTACAGTTGTTCTTGGCTATCTGAGTTTCCTTCAGCTGAAACTCCAGTAGAAAAGAAAGGGGAGAGTAGGAATGGTGACTTTTTAAACAATGAACAACATGGGTGGTGCAAGAGGAAGGAACACCACCATTTGCTACTGATCCTCCAGACACTGTTATTTTATACATTTATTAAATCATCACCATTTTTTTTAGCAATACTTCCAAAAAATTGCATATTTTAGCTAAAGGCTTGTTCTTTTCAAAAGGTTATTTTAACTCTTATGCTCAAAATCGGGGGTTCTGAAACATTTTGCAACCAAGGACCCCTTTAACTGTAAAATAAATTCCATGAACCCCCTCAGTACAGATTTAATTCATAAACATAATCAAACAATTCTAATATTAGGTATTTCTTCAGTCTCTATTCCTATAAAATGAGCAAACCAGAATTTAAAAACATCTGTCCCCTCTGAGACCCTCACTGACCTGATTACTTGGGGTAAAAATAAGTTATAACTTTAAGACTATTTTGAAACTGCTAATTGGTGCTACCATTAATTTTTTGTTCACAAACTCAAATGTAGTGGGAAAATATAAACTAGGATTTAGTAGTGTGTAAGTTGAACGGGCTCAACAGGCTGCAGGTCTGCGTATAGTGAAAAAGAGATGTACCCAGTCATCCAGTTCACTGTTGCTACTAAGCATGAGTAAATCAGAGTAAGTCAGAGACCACCCTTTTGTTTTCAGTCAGTTTTTAGTTTGTTTCAGTGGCAAACAATCAATGGGAAAATGTACAGTTCAAAAATTCCATTTTCAGTTAAACAGCCGTTACTTATTTATTACTTAGCCAGTACTTATTTATCCAGGTCAATATTAAAGTTCAATATTACAAATAAAATATTTACAGATTTCATACTATTTTTACTGTTGAAGAACTTGACCTGTAATAACAACATAACAACAACAACAACAACAACAACAGCAAACATTTTTAAAAAGGCATCAAATCGTTATGATATATTTGATAAAATGAAATGTCTTCAGGACAGAGAACTTTGTAGTTTCTGGGTTCTCTGTAATATGATGAACTATTCAACTGAGAAAAATAGTAAAAGCAAACATTGCATGAAGATGAAATCTATCCAAATCTGCTGTTCACACCCAATTTCCAAATAGTCAAACAGTTAAATGCTAACACACACTTTTAACACCTAATGTTAATTGTTGCTTCTAACAACTAACACATGACATTTATTCAGTCACTATATGGTCCTTTATGCATTATAATATTAGTCCTTTAAGAAAATCAGAAACAATAATAAAGAATAATGTAGCTTGCATGAGAAATGCACTATATGGTCAAAAGTTTGTGGACACCTGACCATTCACACCCATATGTGCCTTCTGAACATCCCATTCAAGATTTATTGCCCCATTTTTGCTGTTATAATAACCTCCACTCTTCTGGGAAGACTTTCCACTAGATTTTGGTGCGTGCCTGTGGGGGTTTGTTCATTCACTCATAGGAGCATTAGTGAGGTCAGGAACTGATGTCAAGCAAGGAGGTCTTGGGGGCAGTCGTGTTCTTGTTCATCCAAAAGGTGTTCCAGGGGGTTGAGGTCAGGGCTCTGTGCAGGACACTCCAGTTCTTCCACTCCAACCTTAATAAATCATGTCTTCATGGAGCTTGCTTTGTGCACAGGGGCATTGTCATGCTGGAACATTTTTGGGCTTCTTAGCTCCAGTGAAGGGAAATCTTAATGCTTCAGCATACAAAGATATTTTATACAATTATGTGCTTCCAACTTTGTAGCAACAGTTTGGGGAAGAACCACATATGGGTGTGATGATTAGGTGTCCATAAACTTTTGGCCATACAGTGTATATGTTGCTGACTTTTGTTGTGGTCATAAGATAAAATAACAGCAGTTTGTGATAGTGGACTCAGATTTTTGGCCCTGCCCTATATTACCAAAGGTGCCACCCGTACTTTTCTAGGCCACTAGATGGGGTATTTAAGCTCTGTACTGAGAGTACTGAACAATGCAATACATTCTAAATTGATCTGTCTTGGTATGATGGTCTAACTTTCAGTAACCACTGATCAGGGCTGTGGTGTAGCTGGAGCCTATCCTGGGAACAGTGGGTGTAAGGCAGGAATACACCCCAGATTGACCTCCATCACAGTGCATCACACATACAGTACATACACACATTCACTTCTAGCCAATCAACCTTCTGGAATGTTTTTGGTAGAAAACTCATGTAGAGAACATGCACAGAAACTCCACACAGACTCAGGCTCGAACCCGGGAGCTGTGCGGCAGCAACGCTACCCACTGTGCCAATTTATTGTACCTTAAATTTGAAGCTATTTTAATAAAAATAAAAAGAACAAAGCTCTGCGACTCTGACCAGGTGGGGGGCATGGTGGCTTAGTGTTTAGCACCGTTGCCTCACACCTCCGGGGTTGGGAGTTCGAACCTCGCCTCTGCCCTGTGTGCGTGGAGTTTACATGTTCTTTCTGTGCTTTGGGGGTTTTCTCAGTGTACTCTGGTTTCCTCCGCCAGTCCAGAGACATGCGTTGTAGACTGATTGGCATTTCCAAATTGGCCGTAGTGTGTGAATGGGTGTGTGGGTGTGGTTGTGCCCTGCAATGGATTGGCACCATGTCCAGGGTGTCCCCCTACTTTGTGCCCCGCGTCCCCTGGGATAGACTCCAGGCTCCCCACGACCCTGTAGAATAAGCGGTACAGAGAATGGATGGATGGATGGATGGATGGATAGATGGATGGCTGGATTGACTCTGACCAGATTACTGAAAGTGAGTTAGAGACTGAGAATAGTGCCTTTCTAAGGTTGAGCGCTTTCATGTGCACTTCCCGTGTTGGCCGCACGGGGGCAGTGTTGTCTAAGCGGATATTCAGGCTCTCTCTAGCGAAGCAGGAAGAGGCGAAAGCGGATCACTGACGTCCGAGCAGCCGCAGGAGCAGAGGTGCGGTGTCGACGCTCTCAACTTCACTTACGAGCGAGCCACCTGCAGAACAGAGCCACAACACACTACCTGCTCAGAGAGCTGCCCTGGAGCTGCCACCCCGGACTTTTTCTTCTCTCCTCCTCACTGAGGCGTTTACTTTCATTTCGTGAAGCACAGCTGAGGAAGCGAGACATTAGACCTGACTGCTGCTCAGATTTGTCCTGGCTGTCTCTCTCAGCATGGCTGCGACCACCTGTACCAGGTTCACCGACGAATACCAGCTCTATGAAGAACTGGGCAAGTAAGTTTACGAGTGCACTTTAAACAACATGAAAAAACAACAACCCTGGGCTTTATGGCTGCTGGTTTAGTCTTGATTTATTTTTTTTTAATGCTTTGCATAGTTTACTATCTAACTCCTGCTCTGAAATTTGCATTTTTATACTCTATACTTGTGCAAAAATTCAAATTTTACTGTACATTTTAGTTTGCAACAAACATACTTTTTAATTCTCGTTTTTTATATGAACTCCGACGCTAGAAACAGCTGCACTGTCTTAGTGTTTATTGGATTAATGCCTGAAGCACTAAACACCCCATTGCTCAATAAAACATCAAACCCAGGGCTTTTCCACACGTAGGCTACAGTGTGTAGGAGCCGTCAACCAATCAGAGTCAAGCAAGCTGTGCTGTGCTGCATTCTCATTGGCCAGCACTGAATGAAACGTAGGAAAGGTACTCTAACATCTTATATTAATGTATACTGTAGCCTACATGAGCCGAGCTAAGCATGACCAGACAGTTTAAACTATTTGAATGTGGGGTTTTTTTTGGCAAAGAAAGCACAAAATGTAGTAGGAATAAGTACTTTTACACGACAGTTCATCTTTCATACAATTCTAAATGAAGTACAACAGGACACTGAGTGGAAATCTTATGGCCAAGCTTATGGCCTAACAGAAATGGTAGTTAGGTAGGTTACCTCTCCAGACCTGACCGCTAACGTTAGAGAAGCATACAGACAATTTCTCTGTAAAATAGTTAGAATTAAATAGCATTGTTGGTCAGGCAGCACAGAGGCACCTTGAGGGTTTCCTCTGGGTTTTCCGGTTTCCTCCCACCTCCCAAAAACAAGCCAGTAGGTGGACTGGCAACTCTAAATTGCCCCTTGGTGTGAGTGTGTGTGTGTGTGTGTGTGTGTGTGTGCACACACATGGTGCCCTGTGATGTACTAGTGTCCCATCCAGGGCGTATTCCCTCCTCACGCCCAGTGTTCCTGGGATAGACTCTGGATACACTGTGACCCTGACCAGGATAAAGAGCTTACTGAAAGTGAATGAATATTGACAGTCACAATATTAACATTAGATAAATCACTGATCTGAACTTTTCCGATTTTTGTTACGACACCCATATCAGTGCCTGGTGAGTACTGGCTGATGCCTGATATTGATCTGATACTGACATCCTTACAGTAAGTTGATTGTCAGTGGGATTATGATGTGCTTTAAGACAACTTGTGTCCAGTGTTTACATATAAGACTGGCAGTCAATATAACTCATGTTCAGCACAAAAAATATGTCAGCTCTGATTTAATACCAGAGTTTCAGGCCTGTACTGGTCTTAGTACTGATACATTATTGGTCTGGTGTATCTCTACTTCTGTAGAACTCTCAGATAACTCTATGCTTATGTAACCTTAAACCTCAATGGTTCTACCATGTGCAAAAAATCACTGAGGGGGAATAAATAAGACCGTAAAGAAGGATGTGGACAGAGACAAAAGTCCAAGTACAATTTGTGTTACAAGAATAAATTAACTGAACTGCTCAGTTCAAGCTGACACTTTATTGATCCCGAGGGAAATTGTAGTGTTACTGTAGCAGCACAACACTTTACATGGCATAACGCTATAATATTAGAAGTGTTTTACAAGGCATGAGAATCTTTACAAAAGTACCAAAGATTGCAGTTATTAAATAATCATTAAAAAAATAGTGCGCTTTAAATTATTGGCTTGAAGCCGCGGATGTCTTCAGATCCTACTAATGGCTCCGGCTTGTGCATTAAAGCTTATTTAAACCGCTTATCTATCTGTACGTTAGACACAAAATTGCTTTTTGTTGCAAGTTTGTGCTTTCCATTATGAGAAGGGAGAATTGACCACTTCCGCTAGACTATTATAAGCCTGTTTATATATGCATTAAGCACTAGATGTGGATTTCCCCCTAATGCTAATCTTCATATTTGAGAAAAGTTGAAGGTGATGTTGAAAGGATGTAAAAAGGAAGATTTGGTGAAAGATCTAATGTGAGGTTCAAATGAAAGTGTAGAGTCAAGAGGAACAACCTGCACATTTAACAGACACGCCATTAATGTCAACGGAAAATTCAGACAGTCAGGATATTTGGGTTTTGGAACCTTCTTTCCAAACATAGACTTATTCTCCAGCACTAAATTGTTCTAGTAATGTTGATTCTCCATTGAAAATGCTTCATAACACATATTCAGTTATGAATATGCAGTATATTAAATAACTATGATTATGAACCCTGTATATAGGAATATTAAACCCACTTGATTTGATATGGCTGTAGCCGTATGTACTTTACCATAATTACTTATTTCACTGATTGTCTAATCATGGTGTTTAATGTTACGCTTATGGAAAAAAAAAACCATTTTTGTGAAAAAGGGGAATTCCTTTAGCTTTTATCGTATCTTGTCTGATGCCATGCGCTTGCTTGTCCACGTGTTTCCTCACAACTGATTGCTAGCTTTCAGTTTAGATAAATGAAGCATTTAATAAAAATAATTTGAAGTGCCCGTGCTAATAAGTGCTAATAATAACGAATACCACAGCGGTGTTGAATTCTTGAATCTGATTGGTCAGAAGGTGTTGATTAATTTTCTATAACAGCACGGCTTTAACAATAGTGCCAGCTGCAAGGCAAATTACAGATTTATACTGATGTGCTCATTCTAGTCTCATTAGGCTTGTGCGATATAACGATTAAATCATCTCTACACAATAGTAGAGTGCCACGATGTCCGGTAACGTTTACTCCAATTATGTTATATTATATTACCAGACCTGCTAACCTTTACACATTTTGCGTAGGAGCGCCACAGTTTAACATCGGAGTACATTAGTGTGAGTTATCACTCGAACATAGGCAGAAAGAGCTTCCCAATACAATAGGAGATGAGCCAATCAACATATGAAATGATTTGCGCAGGTGTTTTGAACACTCTGATATTAACTGACAGCACCTGTAAGCCCCGCCCCCTTCCCGCCCCCCAAATTGGTCAAATTCAACATCATATTTATATTTACATTATATTTATTAGGACTGCCATCAAAAAATTGATCTATGATGTTTATTTAGTATTTTTGGAAGGGATCCACAGTCTGTAAACGAATAAAAGTTATAAGATGTCATTCTTTAATAAATAAAGAAATTGTAATAATGGTAAAATTGGCAGATAAATCACTTTGTGATGTGGTGTTACTGGAAGATAATCATCTTTGGGATGCTTATGCTATCTATGCTTTAGTCAGGCCTCATCAAACCACCCTACTGAGGATTATTTTCCTATGACGGCATACCCTGTCATGTAAATTCCTTACAGATCGTCTGATTAATTAAAAACCGCAACTATACTGCTGCATAAATAATTTTCCTACATTATTTTGAGTGAAATTATTACTATCTACTCTATCTGAGGTTGGTCAGGATGCATTTTTTGTTGTGTTTGCATATTTGTACTTGCGTTATCGTCGTTAACACAAATGCCAATATTGTGATAATGTGAAATAGCTCTGAAATAAAGAATTCTTTAATTGGTAATGTGATTAAAAAATAAAAAAAATTAAAAAGACACTTGTTTTTCTTACTTGTTTCCCTTAATGAGGCAGTATGGTGATTGATGCTAGTAAAAGAGGGAGGCAGAATAGCATGTTATGAAACAGGAAGAATGTCCCCTGACAACAGAGCAAGTGTTCCACTGATCTTTAACATATTAACACGTGGTTGGTTCAAGCAACTGCAACTTCACTGTATCTTGTGCAAGCCTGTTGGAGTGAGCTGTTTACACTTTTTTTTTAAAAATTAAATAGCTAAATTTTTTTTTGACTTTTAAAACCTCACATATTTGCACATCCTTGAATCTCACAGTTTCAGTCTAGCTTCCTGAAGCCCCACATCAGCAGCAAGGAGTAACACTTACACCTTATTCATTCTTGGTCGACTGCTTCTTTATAACACTATTTAGCAGCTCGTTGAGCTACTATAAATGTTTAAACTAGGTTTTGCCTTTGTCTTACAGAGGAGCCTTCTCAGTGGTGAGACGATGTATGAAAATCTCCACTGGACAGGAGTACGCTGCCAAAATTATCAACACCAAGAAGCTGTCTGCCAGGGGTGAGCTCTGAAGTCTGATTGTTTCAAGTGGTCCTTGTTTGGAGAGCAAAAATCTTGAAATTAAGCTTTTGGAGATTCATGAAGCACAGGTTTAC